GGAGACAAACTTCTGGGGGCTTTTGATTGACTGGATGTGGGAATGTTGTGGAAGACGTCTGGCCTGCCATTTCCTGAGAATGGGACTGCTGAGAGAGGAGCCGGGAGGAGAGGAGCCGGGGGGAGCACTGCAAATTTCGCTTTGGACACGTGAGTCATCTGTGAGGGGACCAAGCTGGGAGGGCAAGCAGGGAACTGGACACGTGGCCCTGGAGCACAGAGAAGGGGCTTCAGCAGGCATATTTAGGTGTTGCCATGGTTCCAATGTTCCCTCCAAAACTCATGTTGAAATTTAATTCCCAAAGTGGCAGCATGGCGAGGGGGGGCCTGTAAAAGGTGATTGGATCATGAAGGCTCTATTCTCACTAATGAATGGATTCATCATGGGAGAACGGGCAGCTTTGTAAGAGAGGAAGAGAGACCTGTGCTAGCACCTTAGCACGCTCACCCTCTTGCCATGTCATGCCCTCAACCCCTCAGGACTCTGCAGAGTCCCCACCAGCAAGATGGCTCTCACCAAATGCAGCCCCTCAACTTTGGACTTCTCAGCCTCCAGAGCTGTAAGAAATAAATTTCCTTTCTCTATAAATTACCCAGTTTCAGATATTCCTTGTTTTTAATTTTTAATTTTTTTTTTATTTTTTGAGACGGAGTCTCACTCTGTCACCCAGGCTGGAGCGCAATGGCGCGATCTCAGCTCACTGCAACCGCCGCCCGCCCCAGGGTTCAAGTGATTCTCCTGCCTCGGCCTCCTGAGTAGCTGGGATTACAGGCGCCTGCCACCACGCCTGGCTAATTTTTGTTTTTAGTAGAGATGGGGTTTCACCATCTTGGTCAGGTTGGTCTTCAACTCCTGACCTCGTGACCCACCCACCTCGGCCTCCCAAAGTGCTGAGACTGCAAGTGTGAGCCACAGCACCTGGCCCCCGTTTCAGATACTCTGTTATAAGCAATAGAAACAGAGGAAGTATCTTTGACATGGAGTGGATACTGGAAGCCATGTGACTTCTGTGGGATCATCTCGAAAGAAAGTGTAAAATGAGAAGACACAAGGGCCCAGGAAAGAGCCCTAGGGAACTCAGCATTTGCACAGCAAGTACCGGGTAAAGGGAGAAAAGGGAGAAGCCTGTCAGGAAGCTGAGGAGGAGCAGCCAGAGGAGGGGGAACCCAGGAGAGCATGCTGATATGGGAGTCAGAAATGTGTCAGAAGAAGGAAGCAGCTGACAATGTCAGAAGCTGCCAAGAGGCACAATAACATTGAGGGAGGAAGTGAGTGTGGTTGTTTCTTTATGGGCCACAGTTTTAAAATACCAGGATGAAAGGGCACCTAACAAATAGCAAATACACTAACTTTTGTATTTTGTACCTACCAGACTTCAGACTAAAAAAAGCACAAAGAATACTTGCCAGGGTACGGAGAAGCCCAGGAAATTGCAAGAGATATCCAGTTTCTGAAATGAATTACAATTATCATCTGAATAAATAGTGTGAAAAAATACACACCTGAAAAAATGTGTGAAAATGGCCAAGAAAACATTGAAAATCAAGGTCACTGGGGGAAGACTTTTACTGCCAGTTATTAAAATTTACTATCAGCTGTACTGACTAGAACAGCTGCCAGAATAGATAATTCAACAAGCCAGGATGGGAAGCCCTGAGACTTAAGTTTGGTGGGGACTGTACGTAGGCCCCCTGGCTACCTTCTTTCTCGATGAATAGGTCACACATCTAACTCCCTCGCAATTAGGTTCACCCACTCAGGTGCCCTTGAGTTAGACTGGAAAGGCAGAAGGGAGCGGAGGCCATTTTCCTGCTGCTTCTGATGTAGATGCGAGGCTTCCATAGGAAAGAGGGGTCCACCTGTATAAAGAGCCCAACAACCATATTCTCCAGATGTTCAGTCCCTCTTCGCCCCCCCAATCCAAATGACAGTCTGACACACTGACCACGGAGACTCCACCTGCTGGTCCTCCAGGTAGGGTAACTGATAACAAAAATCTCTAGCTTACTCCTAAGTGTTTATTCTGAAGGCAGAGAATGTACAGCAAGACCAGACTTTTGGCCCAGCTAGCGCTGACTTTGCAATATCAAAACTGCACGTAAACAGACTTAAAAAGCAAATGACAAACTGGGAAAATGGCTGTAACATAGGTGACAAAGGGCTGATATTCTATAAAGAGTTCTTGCGAATAAGATAAAGATGAATCCAAGTGGGCAAAAGATATGCGCAGGCAATCTGCAAAAGTGATGCATAAAAACAGGTTCAACATTACTAGTAATCAGTGGAATAAAACTTAAAACAACAATGCGAAACCATTGTTCTATCATATTAACAAAGATGACAAAAAATGGTGTGACAGTGCAGGGTGTGGAGAAAAGTTGATGTCGAAGCTGTGCCGTCTTTCTATATGTCTTTCACATTAATCAAACGCCTTCAACAACGAGCACCACTTTTGACATGAGTTCCTGGACTTTATCCTTAAAAAAAAAACATGACGTGCACATAGATTTAGCTACAAGTAATTTTGCAAAAGTGAAAAGTTGAAAACAACCCAAATGTACAAAAATAGCGGAGATAATTATGGTACATTTGTATAATAGTATGCCACTTGGTCATTAAAAATGCCATAGAAGTGTATTTTTCATAGGCTTATTTCTGGCTGCTGGTGTTACAGGTGGTTTTTGCTTTTTTATTTTATCATTTTCTATTTTCCTGTAATTATTGCACATTTTTAATAACAACGTTTTAAAACTGGCAATTATATGGTGAAAAGGGCATTAGTAAATTCTGAAGCAACTGAAATTGTAACTGACCATTAACAAATAAACATCATTACATACTAACATTTACCTTAAATAAACTAGATTTCATTTTTCTACTATGGGAGGAAAGACCTAAAATACAAATTGACTCGAATTATAGAAAATAAAGTTACAATTCAGGAATATCTGTCTTTGAACCGTGAAATTTGTACCTGTTATGTGTGTGTGTGCACACGCGTGTATAAAAAATATTTGGATATCCACTAGTTTAAAACAGTGGTTCCTTTCAGCAGGGTGGGATGAGAGGGGGACAGGAGACAATTTTTTGTTTACACAACTCTGTATGACTTGTTATAATAAGCATGAAAAATCGAAGGTCACTTAAGTAAAAATGGTTGTAATTATGAAAATACTTAGAAATATGTAAAGTCTCTATGGTATGATTAGAAATCATAATGCAAAATATGTATACTGTGCTTGTAACTATGTTCATATATTTCCATGTGAGAGAAGCCTGAAGGGGAATACTCTACAATGAAAATAGTTGTTCAAGTTCATTCATTCGTTCATTTATTCCACAAATGTGTGCTGAGCTGCTACTATGTGCCAGGCAACTGTTGCAGGCACCTGGATACAGCAGGCAGTCAAAAGTCAAAAGTGCCTCCACTCAGGGAACTTAAATTTTAGTAGCGGGAGACAGACAATAACATGGTAAACACAGCGAGTATTTCAGGAGGCGGTGAGTGAGTGTCGTGGGAAGAGTGGAGCAGGCCAAGGGAGACTAGCAGTGCTCTGGGTCAGGGCCACGTTTAAATAGGTCGGTCAGGAAAGGCCTCACTGAGGTGACATGGGAGTGAAGATCTGAAAGAGCTGAAGGGGTCAGTCCTGGACACGCCTGGACGGGGGGTTTTACAAGTAGACAGCAGCCAGTGCAGAGGCCAGAGGACGCGGACAGCAAGTCAGACAGCTAGGCAACCAGCGGGTTGTCCGGCTCTGCGGCCATTGTAAGGACTTTGGTAAACTGAGGAGCCGCTGTGCAGCGTGGAGCACAGAACCCACAGGATCCCTGCGGCTGCTGCATGGAAACCCGGCGGCTGGGAGCGTAGGGAGGGCAGGAGACCGAGGTGCTCAGGCGAGGGATGAAGGGGGTGCGGACATGTTGAGGTGCTGCATCCTAGACACAGACTGAAGGTAGCGTCAACGGGATTTCCAGTCAGGGTGTGTCGAGAGTGTGAGAGTGAAGCTGGCTCTTCCGGCTCTGGCCTGAGTAAATGCAGCCGCCATTAATGCTGATGGGAAAGGCAGGCGGGCGGAGCGGGTTTGGAGGTGGGGGAAGAAAGGGTCTTACTTTCTTCTTCCTTGGAATAATATATTCCAAGCAATATAATTAAGCAATATATATTTTCTCCTTTAAGAAAATTCCAAATATTATGGTATCATTCCAAATAAAAAAATCATTTCAAGAGTCCTGACGCAGCAACCATTACACTCCCGGTAACGGGAATGTTCAGTCCGTCCGTGCTCCGGAGACATCCCACCGCAGAACACAGGCCGGCAGGCCGGGCCGAGATTCCGAAAAGCGGGGGCAAAACGGAGGCTGCAAACCCGTGCCCAGTCCTGAAGATTCTCGAAAATGTGGGGAGAGCGCCGCACAGGAACTTCGAAAACGAGAGGCGGCTCCTAGGATCCAGGGTGCGGGAAACCGCGGGGCACATTTGGAACTCGGGTCCGACGTCTGAAGGAGCGGAGGCCGCTTCCGAGGACCCCGGGGCACGCCGGGAACGGCCAGGCCGCCCTCCTCCCGGCAGCCTCGGGGGCCCGGCCACAGGGACCAACAGCACCTGCCGGAGGGCGGGAAGGTCCTGCCTCGTCAAGGGAGGCAGCGAGAAACGGCCGCGATGAACGAAATAAAACCTTCCTCCACTACTGGGACGCAGCTCGCGTCCGAGGAAGCAGAACACACCGGCCGCGGAGCTTTCCGAAAGGCTTCGCGCCGGGACCCGCGACCAGCACGGGGACCCCCACCCTTTTCGAGAAGCCGGGTCAGGCGGGCCGTGGCGCGGCGACCTTTGGGCGGAGGCAGAGGGCAGGGCTGCCCCGCACAGGTTCCGCCCCCACCTCAGCGTCCTCCACCCGCCCAAGCCCCGCCCAGCAGCCCAAGGGCCAAACCCCCGCGACGCATGCGTGCTGCTTCCGCGCGCCTCCACCTGCCGCGCGCTTCCGCCTCTGGCCAGGCTCTTCTGCCCCTCCCCCTCCTGTACGGCCGCCACTCTGCGCCCGGCTTCGTTCTCACAACCTGGTTCTGCCCACACCTGCCCTTCAGCCTTGTGAACAGTGGCTGTCGAACAATCTCAGGCCCTGCAGACCCACCTCCCTCGCTCCCGTGGTGGCGGTGGTGACGGGCTGGGGACGTGGGGTAGAAAAATGGGCGGGATGTGGGAGGCCGCGGTGCCGGGGCCCACTTCCGGAGGACGGGCGGAAGTGGCTGCGGTGGATGGTGGGAGGGGGAAGGAGTGCGAGGGGAGGGCCGGGCCGCTGGGGGTCGAGGGGGTGGGGCCTGGGCCGGCGCTGGGGATCGGGCCTGGGGCCTGGATTGCTACCCGGGCGGGCCGCGGCTCTTAGCCGAGGCGGGGCGGGCGGGAACCAGGTAACGAGCCGGCTCAGTTAGGGCGAGGGTCGTCCGCAGGGCGGCCGGGTGGGGGTCGGAGTCCAGGGAGGGTCGCAGTGTCACCCCCTTCTCCTGTGAACTCGGGGCACGGGGTTCCGGGGGAAGGGTGGGAGGAGTTACATTGTTGGAGGGGGTGGAGGTCGTGTGGACGCCACGCCCCTACAGGAAGGAAAGGAGAGTGTGTGTGTCTGTGTGGGGATGTGTGTTTAGGAATAAACTTGGAGGAGATGGGGCGACATCCGGGCTGAGAAATAGGAACACTGTGGGGCTGCTGCAAGCAGGACTTGGGCCTTAAACATTCCAGGAGAGTGTTCTCGGGAGTAGCCCCGGGAAGGACTTTAACAGAGGTTGGGAATTATATCTCTGGCACAGTTTTGCAAGCGGAGGGGGAGCTTAGTTGAAGGAAAAGGAGCAAAGAATGCATGTAGAAGATGCCAGCATCTCGGTCTGGAAAGGATTCATTAGTTTAGTTGAAGACGGCTGGTGGATTAAAACACTTAGCACCCTAAGAAGCTTGGGAGATTCGATTATTATGTTGGGCTTTAGACAGGCGGGCAGGAGAAAGGGCATTCTCTTCTCGATTTCTTAGAAGACAGTCTCCGGTTACTTTTCTGTGGCGAGAATGGGTACGACCCATCTTTTATCCTGAATCGCGTATATGTTTGTACATATGTAATGTTTATATTATATGTGTTTGTACATATATAATGTTTATATTATATGTATTTGTATATAAACACACTGTTGAGGTGACTGTGTTCTGGCGTGCGATACGTGACTTAAGTAGGTGCTTTGTATAACCTTGCGGAGTGTTTAAAGTTTTTTGATGATAGAATCTAGTATGCACTCTTAGGTGGGGAGTGGAAACTAGAAGGTTTTAGGACTCTATTTGGGTATGTGCTAGATTAGAGAGTGTTATAATGTTGAAATGTTCTGCAGGTTAACACGAAAATCTGCCACCTGGGCCATGCCGCTTCTAAGGCCTGTTTCTTATGAGCCTCCGCAGAAGACAGATGGGCCAGTTCTCACAGTGGATAACTTCCCCTGCCTGAGCAAGAGATGGGATAGTATCTGGGATCTGCCCATCACCAGACTCTGAGCTTAATAAGGCAGCTGAATGAAGGGAGGTAACGGACCCCTGAGAGGGGCACTGAAGTCTGCAGTGGGGGGGGAGGGGCCTGGACACACCCCTTCCCCCCCAGACTCCTCCCCGTCAGGGTCAGCTCAGCCATGGACTTTGGACCTGGATAAGAAGAGAGAAGCTGCACTTTGGTGGATCTGATTTGGGATTCTCAGTTTTGAAAATGGAGTGCTGAATGGGGGTTTGATGATCTCCTGGGGAGCAACTGAGACAAGAGGAAAGGTAAGGCTCCTGTCTCATTTCCCATTTAATGTCTTACTGCGCGTGTGCAGAAGTTGTTGAGCGGGCGAGTTTGCAGAGGCTATTATTCCGGAAATCTTATCCAGATGGGTGCACTGGAAGCTACACCTCTCCATTACTCTGTCCGGGTGTAGACCTGTTCCCCATCTGTCCTTACCCAGGCTGGATGAGTGACTTGTAAGGGATTGTGAGCAATGGCAATTGAGAGGTTTGGCCAAGGAGAACATGAAAATAATTCAGGCTTCCGAAGGGAGGTTGGATTAGATTACCTTTAAAGGCCCTTCCAACGCTGAGATAATAGGATTCCAAGTCAGTCTGGGTTAAGACTGGAATGGATTACCTAGGAGAGGCAGCTGCTCTGTTTTGGGGAGCTAACTGAAAAGGACTGCTGGTGGGAGGAGAAGGCGGGAATGGTCTAGAACACCTCCTAAATTGTCTCTCTTCCTCTTTCTATAACAGGAGCTTAGCCCATGAAAGCTCAGGAAAAGACCAGAGGAACAGAACACAGGTTTGGGAATCAGGAAGGAGTACTTGTGTTCTAGCTTTGACTTTTTTAGTCAGTGTGCAACCGTACACAGGCCATGTTCTCTTCACCTACAAAATGGGGAACACTGACTTTCCAGGTCCCTTACAAGTTGTTACAAGGAGCAAATGAAACAATGAAGGATTTTGAAAAGTATCCGGGGCCATGTACATAGGAAACAATAACATTGATATTGCTACATGTGCCTTAAAAGCGCAGAAACAACTCTGAATCAGGAGTTCTCTTTTCTTGTTGAAATATGTGCTGGCAGAAGCCTAAGAAGATGTCCTTAGGTAAAAGCCTGAATTTGTTTCATCATCTTGTTGTTAAGCAGTACTTGGGATCATCAAGTTGTAGAACAGGCGAATGGATCCAAGGAGAACTTGGATTGAAGATTCTTGCAGATACTACATTGGTCCTTATGGCTCTGCAGTCCAATTTCAGTGTGCCCCTTTGAGGTAGCTGATTAAAGAGGGGGTGGAGGGATGCCTAAGCCTTGAGGGCAAGTGTCTGACTAGGAATTGGTACTGCATTTCTTGGAGTGAATGGTGGTCTTTGCCTTCCTGTGCCATATCCTCGTTATCTTTCCAGCTCTTTAAGATGACGTTGTTTTCCAGACTGACATCTTTTTGCCCTTTGTATTTTCTCAGGCTGTATTCCCACTAAAAGCAGCCCTGTTTGTCTTTATCTTCTCACTTCCTGTCTGCTCCCTCCTTCAATTCCAGTTTACCTGTGCCAAGATGCCTGCTTTTCCCAGTGACCACACACAGCAGAAAGGAGAGGTGGAGCACAGTGTTGGGAATTTGGAGAGACAGTAGGATGTGGTGGCCTGGGCAAAGGGCAGGAAGCCTGGCTTCTGGCAGTCTCTGCCTCTCCCTAGCTCAGTAACACCCAGGCCTCACGTGTTCCTTGAGGATGGGTGCCAGTGAGGTCATCTGCAAACTGAAAATCCTGTACTTATGCCTTACTTTCCGTGTGAAATGTTTTTCTTCCACCGCCTGCCCCAATCTTTCCTTTTTTGCCACAGGAGTTTTTCTCACTCCCGCCAGCGGCCTGAGCGGTGGGCTGTGGCCTGGGTGGAGCTGCTGCTCCGAAGCTGTGCTTTCTCCTCTGATTTGATGCCTGGGGCAGCCCCTTTGAAGCCAGGCTGCTCCTTTATAAGGTGTGGGTCTCAAGGTGGGTATGCCACCTTCCCCAGCTTCACCCAGCACATTTCTGGTGTCGGTCTTTGTTTAGACACGGGTCACAGTGGTCCCTCAGGGACATGTGATGCCATGGTGCCTCCTCAGCCGTCTCTGGGATCCCAGGTACCAGGGAGTTGTGTATTTGCGTAGTGCTTCCATCGTGTCATCCATCAATCTGTTTTGTCCGGTTTCCCTCACCACTTTGTTGTGAGGAGAACACAGCAGGGATTCTTTTCCCAGTTTGTGGGGAAGCTACGGAAGCCCTGAGTGGGAAGGGTTTGCCTAAGGGTAGGGTGGTCGGCACTGAAATCACCTCCCAGGGCTGTGCTGTTTCCACAGCATCTGACCTGACAGGGGCCATCTGGGTCCTGCAGACCTCCAGGGAGAGAAGCTCTGTACCCGCCAGACAGCCTCTCTGGTGGAACGTTTCCTCCTTAGAGTGAGCAAGCTTTCCTCTCCCTGACCTTCTCACCCTCCGCCCTCCACCTGACCCTCCATGAGACAGGCCTTTCAAGACAACCGTTGGCTTTTTCACAGGGGCACCAGGATGCCAGGGCATGGCACTCAGCAGGTGTCAGGCTACTTAGCCAAGAGCAGTGATAGACTTCACCAGACTGTGTGTGTGTGTATTTCTTTTTTTTTCTTTTTTTTTTTTGAGACGGAGTCTTGCTCTGTTGCCAGGCTGGAGTGCAGTGGTGCGATCTCAGCTTGCTACAACCTCCACCTCCCAGGTTCAAGCTATTTCCCTGCCTCAGCCTCCCAAGTAGCTGGGACTACAGGCACGCGCCACCATGCCTGGCTAATTTTTTGTATTTTTAGTAGAGACAGGGTTTCACCATGTTGGTCAGGATGGTCTCCATCTCCTGACCTCGTGATCTGTCTGCCTTGGCCTCCCAAAGTGCTGGGATTACAAGCATGAGCCGTGTGTGTATTTTAACTCAATTATTTATATCCTTCTTTATTCCAAAAGGAATTGGAGGTGGCTAACCAAAGTTACATTTCACAGACATTGTTTAGTGATTATTATGTTAATCTTTCCTCTTTGACCTGGATGAGATGAATTTCTGGGTCTCCATTGTGGGGTGAGGGAGAATGGCAAACAGAGATTGGGAGGCAGGGAGAAGGGAAACAAAACACTGATTTTAAACATTTGCTTTTACTTTTTTTTTTTTTGAGATGGAATCGCACTCTGTCACCCAGGCTGGAGTTCAATGGCATGGTCTCTGCTCACTGCAACCTCCGCCTCCCAGGTTCAAGTAATTCTCCTGCCTCAGCCTCCTGAGTAGCTGGAATTACAGGTGCACGCCACCACACCTGGCTAATTTTTGTATTTTTAGTAGAGATGGTGTTTCACTATGTTGGCCAGGCTGGTCTCGAACTCCTGACCTCGTGATCCACCTGCCTTGGCCTCCCAAAATGCTGGGATTATAGGCATGAGCCACCGCACCTGGCCTGCTTTTACTTTTACTGATGTTTTCAAGCCAACATATGTTTTAATTTAAGGGCATATATTCTTTCCAAATTGTAAAAAATGTCAGGGATCTTGGGCATGGTTTATGGGAGGGCAATTTCCTGGAGCAGTTTTCACTTCCTTTTCATCCTTTCAGTTCTTTTTTGTTGGTGGTGGAGTGGACAGAAGAGTATTGTTCCTCCTAATTCTGGTTTAATCCTGTGACTGTTTATCCTCCTGTTTTTTCTTTTTGCACATAATCCAATCCCAGGCCCACCCCCAGAATCCTGGGCCCTTGTTGCTATCCTTCTTACCCCCAATCACTGATCCCCATGTAACCTCTATCAAGAGTTCAGAGCCTCTTTCAAACCCAGGTCAGTTTGGCACTCATTTACCCTGGTTTCTTGCCTCTCAGACCAAGCGCTTTCTTTTGCCTCCATCACGCCCATTCTGATTCTCTAACCAGGCCCTTTCTTTTTGAGATGGTCTCTTGCAGTCCGGGAATTTCTCCTTTTGAATTTTTCTGTGAGCCTTGGGATTTAAACAAAGGGTGGTAGAGAGGGGGTGTGCGTTACAGTGCACAAACAGCCCTCATACTGTTTGCCCTTCACCTGCCTTAGATGGAGAAGTATCAGGGTTAGTGGTGGGAATCTGACATCTCATGGGCTGGTCTTCCCCCACCTTTCAGCACCCCTGATGTCTGTCCTTTCTCCTGGAAGGTGATTTTGGCTCCTCATGTCTTGGATCTACAAAACAGTGTTTCCCAGCCTTTTCACTTTTAGGAAACGTAATTGTTTTTTCCTTTACGCCTGACACCTAGTGTGAGTGTGCAGAGCCCCCAGGCCCCTGACTCTTGTTCATTAGAGAAACATAAGGCAGAGGTGACAGACAACTGGCCTCTGACTGGCACACCCTCCTGGGCTCGAGGCTCCTGCCACAGTGCACACAGTCTGCTAAAGTGGAGGCTACGGGCTTCCTGCACACTGCACACGGCGGGCCTCGGTGGGCCTGCTCTTCTCCTGCTCCTCCTCCAGGTCTGGGCTCTGGCCACTTCCACGGAGGCTTCAGGGCAGCGCCTGAGAGGACACAGAGCCCTCTTAGAACACTGGCGCTGGAGGATGTGTGCGAGGGTGGATGGGGGGCACGCAAGAGTGCCCCGTCTAAAACCTGGCCATGCTCCCCACCGGGTCTTGTGGCTTCCAGCACGTTGGCATTTACCCTGAGCCTCAAACTAGTTATCTGTGGAATGAGGATGATAACGCCCACCCCGCAGAGCTCCTGAGGCTTGAAGGAGAGCCCGAGGGAGGGTTTGGCCCCTGAGGCCTCTCACTATGCCTGGTGACCCTTTAGCAGTTTTGATTTAGGTCCTCGCCTCCACGCAGGGGCCTGCAGGGTACGCCGGGCCCTTTGTTTCTCTAGAACCCTGTATGATTCGTGGTTTCATGTAGAAACAAGTTAGTGAGCAGTCAGTCAGTAACCACAGGCCTCAGAGTTCCGGGCTGCTGCGTGCTCTGGCACACGGGGGAGGGGTTGATGTCAGGGGCGTGGGTCCTGATCATATGGCAGCAGCCCTTCTAGGGGAAGTCAGCTACGCAGCAGCCAGTAGCTCTCGGCTATCCACCCTCACTGCCTGGGGTCCCATGGTGAGAGTGGGCATCCAGCTTCTGCAGAGGGCCAGGCCGGACGGAGCTGGGGAGGGAGTGGGGCTGGCTCCTGGCTTGCACCGGCCTCGTGGAATCCAGGCCTCAGACCTGATCGCTGGCGAAACAGGCTCTATGCGCCGGAGCCCCTGGTCTTCTGCCTCTCTCCTCCTCCTGGCCAGACTTTGCTCCTGGCTCAGCCACAGGTATTTGCTATGGAAAAGCTGTCCCTCCCTCCCCTCGGTGGGCCTGGGTCCACCTCCACCTCCTCTTCAGTTCCGCACCTTCCTCCCCTTTAAAACACCAGCCAGGCGCAGACCGGTTCTGGGCTTTTCCATGGTGCTCCCGCCAAAGCTTGTGACCGAGTCCTTCCCGCCTAGGGCTAGTGGGCCTGCCCTGCTGACAGGTCTCTCTCTGCTTTTTTACTCAGAACTAACGCTCTCATTCCCCACCCACAAAGGAAAAACGAAAGGGAAGAAGCCACAGCTGGCCCTGGCTTGCTTTGGCACAGGTGCTTTCCCCCGGCCCCGCGTCGGGCACCCTGGTTCCTCTTCTGCCCTTGCCCCACGCGCCCTGGGGCCCCCACCCAGGCTCCCTCAGCCTCCCCTG